GCCAAAAGAAAACAGTACAAAAAAAAAAAAATCTATCGTGTTAAAAATCATTCAAAATATATTAATAATACTACAGCATAGTAAATAATTATCGTCAGAAAAGGTGTTCATAGCAATGCATTAACGCTTGATATATTTATCATTAAGAAACTCTAATAAAGAAAAAAAAAAGAAATATATTATTCTAACTATTAAACAAGGAAAATCTTTAATAATATTTTATTATTCAGATATGTTGGCTGGTTCATTGATCGATTAGTTGGATTTAGATTGATTGATTAACTGATAAGTATGTTTTTGGTTGATTGATTAAATTTGTTATCATAACTTTATTGTACGTACATAAGCAAATACAAAATGTGGCCAGGAAATAGATGGTAATCAAGCTTGGCCGGCCTCTCTTAGTTACAATCATCATAATTATAGCACATTTAAATACTAATAATTATAACACATTTAAATATGTATAATTATATTTAAAAAATAACAAAAACTGAAATTAAATGGCATCATTCAAATATACTGTGATGAAAGTAATTCCTCAAATTGAACAGAGCTATTTATTTAAGCTTAATTTAAGTGGAATTTTATTTCAAATGATAACGCCCGAAGAAGTAATTCTCAATTTACTAGGATTTTTATGACCTGGAGGGATGGCAGAATTCAAATCATTGTTAAATCTTTTATAATATTTATGATCAGTAATATCAAAATAATCGTTTAAATCATGAGGAAATCAGTTATTAACTAGATAGGAAATAACTTAGAAACACATAAGTTATGAAGTAATATTTGAAGAAAGTAAAATAAGGGGAAAGAATGAGCTTTGAAATTCGAAAAAGTTATACATCTAGCACACATTTCTTTGAGTAACTAAAAGAGATTTAAAGTGCTGCCCCATATCTTCATGCCATAAGTCAATAAGGTTGGATGGAAGCATTGTAAAGCATAGATAAATAATCTTAGGAATGCCTACTCGTTTCTTAGGTTTATTATTCAAATCATTAATTTGTTGTTAAAAGAAAATTGTCCAAAATAATATTGATAAAGGGAATTGAATCAGTTTCAGAAATTAGATTATCCTTGATCTTGATTGAGCCGTTTATAATAATATTCTTATTTCTTGAACGAAAATTAAAAACTTATTTTTTATATTAACTGTTAATTTGTAGGCATTTCACCAGTATATTACCTTCTGGAAATGGACATTGGCTTCGTCAAGATCTAACGTATTACCAACTAAAAGTTTCAAAAAGTTAATTTGTAGGCATTTCACCAGTCTATTACCTTCTGGAAATGGACATTGGCTTCGTCAAGATCTAACTTATTACCAACTAAAAGTTTCAAAAAGTTTGAATCATCGGCAAAAAGCCTAAGAAAAAAAAAACAAAAACAAAAACAAACAAACAAAACAGTAGAATTTGGTAGATCATTAATATGGATAAAAATAAATAACTCCCAGTACCGATCCCTGAGGAACACCACATTTGTTAGCTAACGTATTGGACTTCAAATTATATTAGAAGACACAAACTGAAATAATCTATTACCGGTACTATCTTAGCAACATATTATGTTACTAAGATAGTCAGAAACCCAATGCAAAGGGCGATCCCCAACTCCATAATGACCTAATGTAGAAATTAAAATATTGTGATTTTGTATCAAAAGCCTTAGAAAAATCAATAAAAATACCAAGGACACATTTAGAATTACAATACCTAAATCCAACTTGCTGGATTATCGATTGACAAATTAGTTGACTGATGTTGGTTGGCTGGTTGATTGATTGATCGAATTGTTTGGTTATAGATAGATTGATTGATTGTAGATTGGTTTTTTATTGATTGATGGTGTCCCCAAAATAAAGAGTAATGATCAACACACATTTATCGATTTGCTGGAGAGAATTATTTACCCATTTATTGGCAGGTTTGTTTATTGATGTATTTATTTAAATATTGATTGGAAAGTTGATTGGTTGGTTGATTATCGATTATTAAAAAATGGTTGATTAGTAGTTTTGATATTGTTTGGTTAATACACACCACAGGATAAATAATAATAAAACAAATATTGGCCTTTTTGATAACTGATTATAAAACATCCAATAATAATAATAATAATAATAATAATAATAATAATTTATTTCAACAATATTTAAGGGTGGTTCATCCAGCTAGAGCTAATCAATTTGGACCCTCTGTAGATACATTTAAGACTAAAGAATAAAAGATAAAACAGAAAAATGAAAATCAAAAATTGTTTATAAAATAATGAATAATAATAATAATAATAGTAATAATATAATAATAATAATAATAATATTATTATTATTAATAATAATAATAATAGCAATGATAAAAAAAAGTCATCGCTGCTAGTTTGTAATTGTAACTTGCAAATAGTAGAAAAAATATGAATATGATATCAATATACTGTAAACAGTCAAATCATCAAGAAAATAAAATTAATGCTGCTCAGCATAATTGAAGCCTTTATATCCCATAATAATTATCTATTAATGCAAAGATCGTTCTTACGTTTTTGAAAGGTCGTTTCAAGTAACAATATTATTAGGACATCTGTTGTCATTCATATTTATTAATCGATTATAGTACAATATTCTAAAATTCTTTATTTTGACTTGATAAACTGCCATGCCTTTTAAGCTATGTTTCTTATAAGTATTTTACGGAGACGTCTTGCCGTTACAGAATAAAAATGGCAAGTGCATAGTAACGTTAGTTGTTGGTAGGTCTATTGCTTTACAGAGAAATTTATGAATAAATAAAATTAATTAGTAATAAAAGATAATACTATTTATCATTCTATAAAAAATGACAAAAAGCTCACAAAAACACCACCAATTTATGAAATTGTGTAAGACATGGCATGACACAATACGAATGTCGTTGATATTGGCAACAGGATACACTGCAACAGTCTCATTCTATATGGTTTTGAAATAACGAACAAACCATATGTGAGGTCTCACCACAAAATGAGTCTCATGGTTAGAAATTTAAAAATTGAGTTTATATTATATTTGGGTAGATCACATTATAAGCTTTCATTTAGTCTTTGAATGGCTTCCCTACTATAAGTAAATCCAGAGATGTAAGCATTTAAAGTTTAGGTGTATAAGAACCAAGTTTTGAGAAAATCGGCCTCAAAGATAAACTAACCTGTACAAATAATATGACTAGAATTAAAGAATATGTGCAGAGAACACTGTTTTGGCAAGAAAATTCACTTACAAAGTATACAATCATAAAATATAAGTATCAAGTTATTCAAAAACATTAAAATCAAAATTTTGTAAAAATGTTGATTTTGGCCTGTTTTGGTGAATATCTCAATATGATTTCACCAACGATGCATCTCATTTCGTGGTGAGACCTCACATATGCCTAATCGTATCATATAAATGTCATGTAATACATGTAAGTATTATCTCCATAATCATATCAGTAAATTGAGGTCGATGCTGATGCCTCTCTTGTTGAAACTCCTGAATAATCATTAGCGAAGATAAAAGACGCCATTATTTGTAGTTTCAATCCGTTTCTGTACTGGGTATGATACCTATAGAAAACAAAATATATGACGGAATGAAAAGAGATGCAAGATAGTTTTTTTTTTCTTGTTTTGGAAATTACCATCCTTTATTTGTCTCTTTTCGATGGTTTTTCGTTTTCATTAACTCATACATACACGATTATAGAGTACTGGTAGTTACATTCAAAACGTTAACGATACAAGGCGACGGTGTGTTTATAATTCATTACTGTACAAAAAACAAATAAAAGAAACGGCGCAAGTTATAAAAATTGACTTTAAGAGGAAATCTACAAAAATAAACTTGTGACATGGAAGATGATGAGAAATTGCAATTGAATCTGCAAAAAGGACGATAAATTTATCCGAAAATTTGGGGACGAAATTAATGTGACACAATGTCCAGATTCGTTCAGTACGTTCCATCAATGAAATTTTTGTCTAAAAAAATTTAATAAATTTTTGAGAAAAACGTATTGTCACATTCGGGATCTGAACCCAATACTTTCCGACTACTGTTCGGCTTGTAGTGTACACCCTTGAAAAATTGCGCAATGAATAATAGTAAATCACATGATAGTAAATTGTATGAGAAACATCTTCATTGAAAAATATATAATATTACTTATTATAGGATTTATTATTAAACTTTTAACAAACATTATTGTTAATTATTCAAACAGTCATTACTTTTTTAAACGTGATTATTCTCGTCGTGTATTTTTTTCAGTTCGTCTATTCGTTATCCAGATGTCCATTCTTGGAAGACTGCGTCGGAAACCATAGATCCAAATATGTGTGTTGCAAGACTTCCAATTCCCTTTTCAAAACAGTTCTGGTCCATTGATATATGTTGCATCTGCTTCAATAACCTGGTCGATTACAATCTGAAAAATCTCCGAAAACTACCATGCCCGTTAAAAAATTCAATTAATCTCAGTAATGCTGTAAAAAAATTGGTTAGTCGATACCATGGAGGAAATATATCATAATATATATATCCTCCATGGTGTATATGTATCTTAAATAAAACTAACCTATACCATTCTTCATCATATTCACCGGCAGAGTTCGCGATTGACTGATACACTTTAACAAACTATCATGGAGCTGTAATTATTATTACAGGTCCATGTTAATTTGACACTAAGTACGTTACCATTAGTTGTTCTCACACCAGAGGCCGTATCATTCGAATACTCGCTGGTATCTTTATCTGCAATTTAAACGATTAAACAACTACAAGAACTTGTTCACACTTTCATATTTGAAGCGACATTAATATCTAGATGACATTTTTCTATATATCGCCCTTATATAAAATAAATAAATAATAATAATAACAATATTGTCGACTTTTAGAGCGCATATTGTTTTAGAGATCTCCATGCGCTTAATAGTATTACCCCCGGTCATTGGGTCAAGCACATATGATACACACTCAGGTCCCTGGGGAGAATTCCATAATATTGCAGCTGTAATCAGCGCATTTTGTGTTTGAACCTACCATGTACCCACTTATACTCCTTGGTGGAAAGAGACAACCGTAGATAAAGTGCCTTGTCCAAGCGAACTGCACGGCGATAAACCGTCATAATAATATTTATATATTTTTGTTGATTAGCAATTATAAGATGCATAAAGATAAAGATAATCAGTAGTTCTGACAAGATAAACAAATTGATTGGGATTGTGATTTTAATATTGTTTACCTAAACATCTTTCGCCTGTGTAGCCAGGGTGGCATGTTGCAGTCACATTACAGACTCTGACACTCAGTAGCATTACAATGACAATCTTGTAGACAGTCAGCGCCATACTTGCCAGCTTCACATTCTGAATACAACAATATGTCATTAATATATTTTAAAAATTACTGGTAATTGCATATATATATTTCTTGTATTACAATTTTGGTCATTGTCGTTGTCATGTCATCGTCACTGTAATCTTCATCATCATCATCATCATCAGCAGCAGCAGCAGCATTATCATTATCATTATCATTATCATTATCATTATTATTATTATTATTATTATTATTATTACTATTATTATTATTGCTGCAATATAACATACGGGTGGGTATCTGGATTAAAAGTTAACTATCTTCTGACTTATTGGTTTATTGTCGTGGTTCTTTTAACTTCAGGAAAGCCAATATTACAGATTATTTACGTTTAACATACTTGATTATTAGACTACTTTTTTTTTGTAAATCTCAATCCTTTAGTAATCTTACCCGTTTCACAGCTAAGTCCTTTCCAGCCAGCGTGACAGGCACAACCTTGTGGCATAGGCGGACAAAACAGATTCCCTTTGCATCCGTCATCGTTACCACTTTCACATGGGGTTAGACCATCACGCCCAAAACGATTACCACCAGAAGCTGAAAAACAAACATATATATATACACATATACATATATACACATATATATATATATACATATATATATATAGGCCTATATATTAAATAAATAATAATACAGTCCTCAAATATAAAGGAAATGATGTTATAAATCGTATCAAACATAGCTCTTCAACGAAAGTTCGTTATCATAGTCGCATGAAGAAAAAGGTCGCTGGTTGGAATCGAACCCGCAACCTCTTGTGCCTTCCGGATTACTTCCTGCAAATCTTGAATGACAAAAACGTTCTGATGTACAGTAGGCCTATGTATCACAGGCGATCCATTATAGCATTATGTAGATTTGTGTAATAATAATACCGGTATTTCGGATTTGTTGACGTCCTGTTTACATTTAGAGTTAACAGAAATAATTGACATTGGTGTACTAACATGTTTTGCAACTAGCTCCGGTAAATCCTGAAGGACATATACAGGTTCCGATGACTGTATCACATACTCCTCCGTTGTAGCATACTTCACAATCCATGGTACAGTTAGGTGGAGACCACTTGTTATGTGGACATTCTGAAACACAAATCAACTCGTTAAATACTAATAATAAAGTGAAATTCATATATTACAACATCAAATTTGTAAAAAAAAACAATGTTTTGTATAAAGTCAACGACAAAAGAGGATACAATTAAATAATTTCTACAGTTTATAAATAATTTGTTAACTCGTCTAAAACGAAATAAAAGCGTTCCGTTATATGTTATTTTTTTGGTTTAGATTTGCCAGTTATATTATATTATAATGAAACTGGCAAATCTTAACACAAAAAAAACACATGTTCGTAGTGGCAAACATTAAGGTAGCCACACAGTCATATATTCATGTAAGCTATATTTCATCCAATATTTAATTCATTTTATCCATTATTTCTTTTCTAACTCCCTCTCGTAATGCCCGCCCTCCATTACTTTTTCCACCCATCTCATATATTTTATAATAAGGCCGACATTTATCTGCTTATGTGTGACTTTTAACCAGAATATTAAAAGGAATGAACATGTAGTAGAAGTTCAAATAAAATATAATCTACCTCTTACTATCAGATGCATGAAAGCGTGTTTTCCTTCGTTCCAGCTGTCATTTATATAACATTCATAAACCCCGGCATCATCCAATGTAATATTTTCTAACGAAATCTCCGTCAAGTTGTCCCATTCTATGTTATAATTTCCGTTCTTCGCCCATCGTAAGTTTTCAATGCTTGCGTTACGTTGATCGACAACAAGTGTAACGTTACTATCCCATATACTAACGGTCTTAGTACGAACAATCGGTATTACAGACGCTTTGGATAAAAATACGTACTGTAAGTTATTTCTTTGCTTTTTAAACGCCTAGTCAAATAATAATTTCTTTAAACTCTAAAAATTTAATTTGAGTTTTAAAAAAATGTTTTTGATTTTATAATGTAGCAATTGTTTTATTTCTTAATTTTTTATGATGTTAACAATTTTTATTAGGATGTTATTTGTTTAATCTGTAATGTCATTTCAATTTTTTGGAAAATTTGAATATAGGCCTTTAATTAATAAAATAATCTATAGGAACAATTTTAATATGTATATTTTGTAATAATTTTTAATGTTTTTTATATTATACTATCGTGGTTGTTTTGTAAAAAGTAATTTTTAATTATATCATTATGCTTGTAAATTAATGTTACAATAATTTTATTTTTGTTAACTGTGATTTCATTTACTTTTTATGTTAAATAAAGATACCAAGATATATATTTTCAATCAAAGAATGTTTGCCTGTAGTTGTGTTGGTGTGAGCGGTGTGTGGAGGGTTACGAAGAGGGCGTGTAGGCATGTATGTAATGAGGTCATTAGTAACAATTTTACAAAGAAAGTGTTTGGTACGGTACTTCATATTATTTGATTTAAAAATCACTCTGTTAAATTACTGTAAAAAAAATCCTTTTTATTCGGCTTATTCGACTGGTTCATTTCGTTGAGTACGAATTTTCGTTGAGTATTATTTTTATTCGACTGATTCGTTAAATAGACTTCGTTGACAACGAAAATTAACGTAAACCAGAGTGCGTTACAATCAGCGTTAAGTTATAAACAACATCTGCGTTAATATAACTTGGATTAAATTTCATAAAATAAAAATTATAATATTTACCCACATGGAGTCAAAAAATAATTGTAGGCTAATAGAATTCAAAAACTGGATGAAAATATTTTTTTTACGAAAAACCCATACTACCACAATTTGAAGCAATCTTGATTACGCAACGTGTATCGTGGTAACTATACGACCATTTTGTTTTGTCGAGTATTTACAAGTGTTCTATTCGACTGGTCGTCTTCGTTTGAGTAGGATTTTACCGCTGCGCAGGTGGGCGTGGTTTTAACGAAGAACGACCATCGAATACGGCCATTGATTATTAATCAAGTTAAGAGTCAATGCAAAAAATGCGGAAAAGTTATAATTTAGCTCTTCATTAATTGATGAAATGTTTTTCTCATTAAAATGTTAAATTAAAGGCTAGTAAGTATACTTAAATATACATATTAAGCAATTGTTTTCACTCTCTAGATCTAGTAATAATAACTAGACTTACTATGTCTGTTCGTAAAACAGAACATAGGGCCGGGCTTTTCCACATTGCCAAAAAAGCTGATTTAAAAAGTCTAAGGTAAAATAACGCAAAAAACAAAAATGAAATCATACGGAAAATTATGAAGTTAAAAATCATGAAAAAAAATATTCACAATATGTAGAACGGCGTTATATTTTGATATTAATTAATGCGTTTTTTCCTAACTATTTATTTTTTTCTTTAAATATGACAAATACAACTAAAGTTTTTGTCCATATTTCTATAAGAATTATTATAAGAGCTCATAAATATCATGTTTTACAACATTTTCTGTATTATTATTATTATTATTATTATTATTATTATTATTATTATTATTATTATTATTATTATTATTATTATTATTATTATTATTATGTTGTGGTATTATTAAGATGTATTTGCTGTCTGCTGATACACAAACAATGAAAATATAATGAACTTACCATTTTCATGATGAACTATGATTGTAGCAGTGTCATTTCGAATACCTTTCTTTGGGTACGCAGCAGCAGTAAATACACCAACTCGGGCTTCAACAGAGGAGTTAGTAATTTTGGAACTAATTTCAGCTTTACGGAAAGTGGACGAAGCACTCTCAATGGTTTTGAGTGTACAATCAACGTCAGCAAAATCGTTTAAATCTGAATTATTACAAAGAGTTTTTCCCGACAGATGATCCAGATTGACCAAGAGTGTAGGCCTAATATTCAGTGTGATGTTCGTTGTTTGGTCGTTTCCCAGTGTATAACCACGAATGTCAGTTTTTGCAGTATCATTAACAGCAGGAGTTGGAGTGAAACCTACCATATTCAGTTTGCGCCTATCCACACCTTAACCACGTGTAAATAAATAATTAAAGTCAGAAATTTTTATCGACCTAAAAATGATAGTTTATAATAATGTTTTTACACATATATTTCAGTAATACATGTGTACCTTTCATTAGGGTTCATCCAAATATTCTCAAATGTATGCATATACAAGGTAATTATTATTGTGAAATTTAGGAATAGAAACAATCAATTAGAAAGACCGAGATAGAAACAGTAGCGATTTATCAAGCAAACTGACAGGTTTGTGATGTTGGGATTGCCTGTTACCTACATCTTATGCCTGTGTAGTCAGGGTCGCATATTGCGTTCACATGAATATAGACACAAACCAATTAATGGAACGTCATGCAATTACTGTAGCTAAAATAAATAAATGGCCATTATGTTCATAAAACAAAAAAAAAATCATAAATAAATAATAATAATATTATTGTTGACTTTTAGAGCGCATATTGTTTTAGAGACCTCTATGCGCTCAATATTATTACCCCCGGTCATTGGATAAAGCACATATGAAAAACACACTCAGGTCTCTGGGGAGAATTCCATAATATTGCAGCTGTAATCAGCGCATTTTGTGTTTGAACCTACCAGGAACCCACTTGTACTCCTGTGTGGAGAGAGACAATCGTAGATAAAGTGCCTTGTCTAAGCGAACTGCACAGCTGCGATGAACCGTCATAATAATGTTTATATATTTTGTTGATTATCAATTATAAGATGTATAAAGATAAATATGATCAGTAGTTCTGCCAAGATAAACAAATTCATTGAGATTGTGAATTAAACATTTTATACCTAAGCATCTTTCCCCTATGTAACCAGGGTGGCATTTTGCATTCACATAACAGCCTCTGGATGGATCACACTCAGTAGCATCACAATGACAATCTTGTTGACAGTCAGCGCCATACTTACCTTTTTCACAATCTGAATACAACAATATATCATTAATATATTGAAAAATAAAAACATACTGCAATATAAACAATGGTAATTGGATATACATTTCTTGTATTAAAATTCTGGTCATTATCATTATCGTTGTAATTGCAATCATCATCATCATCAGCATTATTAATATTATTATTATTATTATTATTATTATTATTATTATTATTATTATTATTATTAGTAGTAGTAGTATTATTATTGCATATAACATACGGGTTAACATACTTAAATAAGGTACCTCTGCAAATGAATTATTCTTATTTATTTTTATTTCTTATTTTAATTTATTTCTTCCGAAAGTGTACTTTCTATCACATATAATTCCACTGTCTTAGTTAGGCCTACTAGGCCTAGTCTTATGCCTCATCGTCCCCCGCTGCACAGTACATCAGCAGCCCCTCCCCATACAGTACAGACGTTTGCTAGGTAACAACGTGATTGCACCTTCCTTCCCAGGTGTTCATGTAACATTGACATAATTGTTAGCGAACCAGTTGTGTGTAATTCTTTGTGAAAATGAGTACCGCAGCGTACTCATTTTCACAAAGCATTTGCATCCCCTCTTGGAAAGAGGGATTCGAAATAATTGTCTCCATATCTTCGCTAATTAAATTAATCACCGTAATTTAGCTTACACTTATGAATTTAGGGAGGACTTAAAATGTGAAATAATCATTTCACCCGACAAACTCCGAACTTTATTCATTCATTAGGCCTACATAATAGTTTCATATTGCTGTACTATATACCAACATCACTGGCGAATGGTAACAACCAACTGACTGCAGACCATTTCCGGTCACACATTACTCTCCATAACACAGCACCCCCTAGTTCCGTCACCTCTGGATTAAAAGTTAACTATCTTCTGGTTTATTGGTTGATTGTCGTGGTTCTTTTAACTTATATGGTAACTGTAACTTCTTTATTGCGGTTTCCAAATTTTGCCTATATAGTAGAATTTAGGCGGGGCTCTTGTTTCAATATACTGATTCAACTCATGTAATTCCTCAGTATGAAAACTTACAGTTATTTTTTTCTAGTCAATTTAATATAAATTGTTTATATTTTTATATCTACTAATGTGTAATTTTATACAAATCATAATCTTATCGTTATTCATTGTGTTGTTTGGATATTTTATTATGTACATAGAATTCTAATGTTTGCTCTAATGAATTTTATCATATTTCTAGTTTTTTATAGGTCTCAATTTAATTTTAATGTTCTCAATTTTGTAATCTTTTTGTATTCTCATGTAATTCAGCGCTAATGCTGCCATTTGAGATTGAATAAAACATATTGAACTTCAGGAGAGCCAATATTACAGATTATCTACGTTTAACATACTTGATTATTAGACTACTTTTTGTAAATCTCAATCCTTTAGTAATCTTACCCGTTTCACAGCTAAGTCCTTTCCAGCCAGCGTGACAGGCACAACCTTGTGG